TCCTTTCATTTACATTTCATTTTTCTTTCATTTCTTTCATTTTCTTTCATTCTGAAATCCTGAAGTGAAAAGTAGAAGTTAAAAGTTAATGTCACTTTGGTAAAGTGTTACTAACAGGGATGTACTTGTGTATTTTTTCCTAGAGTTCAAGTGCATGGGAAAGTCCTTGTGTAAAGGATGTCTGAGTTACAGCTGCTCAGTGATGGTGGTTCATTAATGTTCGTTTAGACTAAAACTAAATAGCTCACTGGACTTAATAAAGTAAAATCCAGATTGACTGGAAGCAAACTATCCCCAAGTTTCAGAGTTGGAAGGGATGCCAGGCCATCTAATCCAGCCTGTACCTGACCTAGAATCCTCACTAGGATATCTCTAATAAGTAAGTAATAAACCAACCTTCACTTGAGCCTCACCTCTAGTGAGGAGAATTCCACTGTCTCTGGAAGCAGCCCATTCTACTGTCAGAGAACTCTAATTATTTAAAAGCTTTTCCTAACACCGAGCCCATAACTTGTCTTTCTATAACCTGTCCCATTGTTCCTAGTTCTGGGACCAAGTGGAACAAGCCTAATCTCTCTTCCATAGACAGACCTTTAAATACTTTTAAGATAGCTGATATATTCCTCCCACCCATCCCTAACTCCTTCAGCTAATTTTGATATAGCATGATCTGAAAGCCCTTCAATACCCTTGATTGTTCTCCTAACTAACCAAAGCTTTCAACTAATTAGAATTTTCTTTTGTACTTAGCTTTTAGGAGAGAAAAAAAATCACCAGAAAACAACCTGATAGTAGCAATTCAATTCTAAAAAGCACTTCCCAGGGGACATTGAATCCAATATCCTACACCTTCAGGATTGCTACAACTGGATAGTAAAAATTGAAATTCATAATGTTGATCCTGAGGTATTCCAATATCCTGAATGAAATCAAAAGAGAATTCAATTATGTCATACTCTACTCTTGCTGACACTGCTTCCATAAAATCGTTCACATCCGTCCCCTCTTATTCATTCCTACTGCCAACACCCTAGATTAGCCCTAGTTAACTCTTATTATTTCAATAGCCTCCAAAAGAATCGACTTTCTTCCAACTTCTTGCTGCAGTCTGTCCTATATACTCTTGCCAGATAGATAGTCCTGATCATGTCATTCCCCTGCAGAAAAAAAAAAACCCTTCAACTGATTCCCATCAGCTACTGAATGAATTCAGTAAATAATATATGAATTAAGTAAAATTAATAAATTCACCCTGACTTTCCACCATCTGGCCCCAACCTACCCTTTTAACCTTATCTCTCTTGATTCCATTTCATGTATTCTATATGCCAGGCAGACTGGACTCTTGGTCATTTCTTGATCATGTCTTTCTCTTTCTTGCCTCTATACCTTTGACCACACTCTTTGCTATACTTATAATGCCCTCTATAGCCACCCCCTATCATCTCTCTGTTGAAATCCTGCTCATCCTTCAAAGCCTAGCTTAAATGTCATTTCCTCCATGAATTTATAACATGTTCCCAATTCTTCTGCAGGGCAGCTAAGTGACACAGTGGATAGAGCACTGGGCTTGGAATCAGGAAAACTTATCTTCATGAGTTCAAACCTGGCCTCAGACATTTACTAGCTTTGTGATCCTGAACAAATCACTTAACCTTATGTATTTCAGTTTCCTCACCTGTAAAATGAACTGGAGAAGGAAATGACAAACCACTCCAGCATCTTTGGGAAGAAAACCCCAAAATAGGGTCATGAAGAGTTGGACATGACTGAAATGACCCAACAGGTTTTCTGTAAATGCAAGAAGGGATCTATGCTACTTTGAACTCTAATGTACTTATCAAATTTTACCTTCCCTTGTGACACATCTTACCTTGCCTACTGGTCCACGAGTTCTTAATCTTTTTTGTGTCTTTGGTAGTCTGATGAAGTTTAAAGAGACCTTTTCAAACCAATGTTTTAAATTCATAACAGAAAATATAGTCAATTCTTATTATTTGTGGTGGTTATGTTCTATAAAGTCACTGTGAACACTGAATTAGCAACTACTGAAACATTTCTCCTAGGGGAAATACAGGGTTAGGTTCCTATAAGCCTCCGGTCACAACATTTACTTTAACACTTTCCAGAGTGGTTTCACATACAGATTGGTGAATTTCCTCTTCCTTTTTCTGGATGTACCATATTGTTGATTCATTAACATCAAACTCATGGTTAACAGCATTATATAACTCGTGTCAGAAAAAAGATTATCTAACACATGGATTTTCTCCATAAGGCACATCACAGCCTTCTTGTGCATAAGAACACTAGACAGCACTCCAGCCCTACAACTGGGGGCCATTTTAAACAGCAGAATTGCCAAAAAATAGCACAAACATATGAAAAATATGACACCAGATAGACCATGAAAAAGATGCTTGTTTACAGTATGAGAACTAAAACAAGAAGGCAGAGCTGGCCTTGTTCAGCCTTAGCTGGGAATGTGTGCATTGGGTAACTCAAATTTTTTGCTGAGGAAGACTACAAGAGTGCCATAAGTATTGAGTTTACAAATAAATTTTAGTGAGTAGGCAGACTGGCAAATCCAGAATCTACAAATAATGAGGATCAACTATATACATATCACAAAATGATTTTATCATTTATCCTCCATACCAGGAATGCTCTCCCTCATAATTCTGCCTCCTGGCTTCCCTGACTTCCTTCAAGTCTCACCTAATGTCTCACCTTCTGCTATAAGTCTTTCCCAGTCTTCCTTAGCCTTAGGAGTTGCCTATCTATAGATAGTTGCCTGTATCTAATCACAGGTCCAGATCACAGAAATATAGCTGGACAGGATCTTAGAGGTCATATAGTCCAATCCCTTCATTTTACAGATGAGGAAACTGAGGCCTAGAAAGGTGAAGTTACTTACCCAGTGTCACATAGGTGGTTAAGTGGCAGAGCCAATGCTCAAACCAAAACCTCTGACTCCAAATCTAGCATCCTTTCTACTTTACTATCATCCTTCCACTATATAATCTTAGGGCCTTCCCTCAGCTTCTCCTCTATGTATCTTGTTTATACATAATTGTTTGCAATTTGTCTCTCCCATTAGACTGGGAGCTTCTTGAGAACAGGGACTGAGTTTTTTGTTTTGGCTTGGTTTTTGCTTTTTTGCATCCCCATTGCTTAGCACAATTCCTGGCTCATAATAAATGTGGTTAATAAATGCTTATTGACTGAATGACTGAATACAAAGAAAACCAATTATATTGGAATACAGTTACTAACATATATAGTATATAGTATATACTATATATATATACAGTTACTAATATATATGTTATATATAGTATATACTCTATATACTAACATATATAGAGTATATACTATATATACAGTTACTAACATATATATAGTATATACTATATATACTAACATATACATACATATGTATACGTATGTATATATGTATATAAAAACAAGTTCACAGCCCCCAGGCTAAGAGTCCCTTTTCAGACCCCAAGCACTATGCAGTAAGCAATCACTGAATATTTGTTGAATGAATGAATATAAAATCAGGGAATTATATTAACATTTTAGAAAGTTTTTCAACAATAGGGCCTGAAAGAAAAAGGATTTTATGCTTAACTTTCAGTTGACTAAAAAATTAAATAAATAAATTTAATTTTAAAATTAAATAGAATTTCTTCACACATTCTGTTAATTGGTTTTACAATTCTTTGCCTTGGCAAAAGGTGGGAGAGAGAATTGCTGTTAATGAGAAGAGGGCAGCGGTTTGAAATACTCTAGTGAGTATCTATATCTATGCCTTAAAAAGTCCAGACCTGGGAAATGAGGTATGCAAATAAATGTGACCTTTTCAAAGCATGGTTTCTGGACCAAAGTCTCTATCCTTGGTGAGTAAGCCAGCCTTCAGTTTCCCTTCTAAAGCAAGGTACTGCAAGGTAGCAGCAGAGTATTGTTCTCCCTCTCTGAAACATCATCATCATTGATATTATCAAAGAGCATTTATTTGGCACTCACTTGTGTAGGGCGCATGGAGCTCTATATTAAACAAGAGAAAAAATAGGTTCTCCATGCTTTAGGCCAGCCAACAATAAATGTTTCTGTCACAACTGGTTAAAAGAGGCAGCCTGGTGGAGTGAACATGGTGTACAGTTATCCCTTCCACATCTTGGGGGTTGGAGGCATGGTTACCCCCATGATTTGGAAAATCTGCATAAAAGTTTTTGGCCCTCCCTTCATACTGTAGAAGTCTGAATTATTATGGTATTAAAAGATAAAATATGTTGATATTATACGAAAATATACATATATTTTATACATTTCTGAGTTTCTAAACTTTTTTCTGTGTCATTGGTGGGCCTTCAAATGTCATCTTCGGCTTCCACAAAAATCCCCCTAAATTCCCATTTAATTTCTTATGCCAACCTGAGATAAAAACCTTCATGGCGGAAAGTAGCAACGTGGAAAGGATAACTGTACTTGGAGTCAGTAAGACAAGGATCCAAATCTGACTTCTCATACTGAATAGCCATTTGATCCTGGGCAAGTCATTTAATCTCTGTTTCTCTTAGAATTTATCTACTAAGTCAAAGATGCTACATTAGAGGAGAGAGTCTCCACTCTAGGAGCCCCTACATGATAACTGATTACTATTCTCATATATGTTATTATTATATATACTTACATGGTTCTCCTTCCATCATCCCTGATGAAATTCTATTTGTCCCATTACCTCTAGAAAAAATATCCAATAGAATGTAAGTTCCTTGAGGGCAGGAACAGTTTCATTTTTTTTGTCTGAGTATTCCCAGCACCTACTACAGGGCCTGAAGCATGTCAGGAACTTGATAAATGCTTATTGAATTTTGAATAAATCAATGAATGGATATAGAGACAAATGAACATATTTAGAAATGAATCATTTAGAAATGAATCATTAGTATCTTAAAAAATACCTTCAAGTAAAATTATCTCTAGGATCTTACCTGCTGAGTATCAATGTTCATCAGAGTAAGGCTACATGTTGAGATGGTCAGTTTTATATTAATTCCAGAAAATTGAAGGTTACTTCTGCCAAGTACAGAAGATAAAAACTTAACTGGAGGCTTTAAAAAGAAGAAAGAAAAATTGATGTAAGTTGTGGGGTTTGTTGCCTAACGAGATGATAAATGTGTTCTAGAAGCCTGGTCTTATTTTACTTTAAATAAACCAAATCATTTCACAATCCATGTAGTGACTTCTGAGAGTGGAGCTCTGACCCATTGGGGCCACTGTCTTATTTGGGAACACAGACCCAAGGTAAAAGTTCCTAAACCCATCCCCTCCCCAACTCAGTTATTTATGAGGGGGGAAAGACATTGTCAAGTACCAATCTAAGGCTTTCATGGTGTTTTTGCTTTTGTACTGGCATTTCCAGACCTGCAGGGGTCCTCCCTGAGTTGAATCTGCAGAGCTGGGAACGGAATAATGGACTCTACCCTGTTGGCTGAGCTCTTGACTGGCATTGGACTAATTAGTGCATGCTTAACAACCCGTTGGAGTTGTTACTGACAGCGAAGTCAGCCAATGATATTGCTGGAAAGAAAAGTTGAAAAAAATAGTTTCTTCCTATATTTTCTATGCCCCTCCCCCTACTATTTCTTGGGCCCTATTACCACAAAATCCCTGCATATCAATCACTCTGACACAGCTCATGGATGAATACTCTGCAATTAATTCAGTCTTCTCCTTTCACCAAAAAAATAAAAATGTCGCATTGATATCCCTGCCCTCCAGTACTTTGGCTCAAGGCCCAGCATGGGATAGCAGAGTAGACTGTTGTCTATGTAGTGAGATTGGAAGGGTGCCATAAGCTCCCCCCCCCACCTTTTCCCTCCAAAGATCTCCATCCCCCATAAAAATCTACCATTAATCACTTCTATGAGTTAAGACATTGTTTCCAGAAGGTCTCTGTTAAAATGCATAAGTATTAGCAGAGAGCTGGGCTACCATTAACACTTTAGCACCCATTAATACATTACCTAGGGTGGGTTTATCAGATTAGCTAATAGGTGCTGAAATCAGAGTCTTGAAGGAATGGAACATATTCAGGTGGGTGGGCAGTCTCAAAAATAGATCTTCAGCATGGGACACTGCCCAGGGAATGTAGGCTTGTGTGGGGTTCTATAGTGAAAGTAGAAGGTGTGGGTAATATGGAGTACTGGGTATTTAGGAGCTTATTTTAAGGGAAGAGGAAGGGTTGGGGAGAGAACTCTGATTGGGTCAATATAGTAGGGCAGGGGCAAAATGAAAGTAAAGTTTTTTGACTGATCCTGCTTTGACTTTTTACAACAGAAAAGTGTTGAATTACTCTTTGCACAGGCTGTCATCCATTATTGGAACTCATATTTTATTTTTATTACTAAGCACATTCTGAAGTATATTGTAAATAATGGTAATGAAGTAATACATTCTCCCATGCTCATCCCAGGTAGCAGTCTGTTTTTCACAGAAAGCAACATAAACAATTCCTGGCCCTTCTCCTTTTCTCTCTCTATACCATATGGTCCTATGTAAGACAGGCTATTAATATACAGAAAAGACAGACTTAATGTCAGTGTTGATTATTTCACTGAATATATGCAAATCACTCATCTGAACTTCCACAGTGTTCTTTTGCTGCTAATTTTAAAAATATAATTTATGTAGCAATACTAATAATGAGCAATAGCTCATGTTTATATGGTGCTTTGTAATTTTAAAAGCATTTTCACAAATATATTTAGTTCCTTCTCGCAACAACCTTAGGCTGACCATGTATATACAATGAATTTCTATAAAGTCCCCTCAACCCTCAAAATATCTTCTATACCTCCCCATTGATGTCTAAAGCTTATTTTTAACATTTCCTTTCATAATTAGAGCTAGGGTTTAAAATGCATATCTGTATTAACAGTCATTTAAGTACAGTCATTCATGCTGAAGTATAAATGTCTGGTATCAGAGCATCTGCTAGCAATGAGCTTTAAAAATGGGGAAGAGGCAGGGTCTGGAGACATTGGGCATCTAAAAGTATATGGGAGGAAGACCCACCAAAATAGGGAAAGGGTGCACGTCAAAATAAGAGGTACGGCAGAAGATAAGCTTAGAAAATGAAACAATTTTGCCCAGGGCCTGCCCTCACTTGGGGGGAGGGGGCACAGGAGAGAGGCATTATTATTCCTATTTTACAAATAGGGAAACTGATGCAGAGGTTAAGAATCTACCTCCAGGGGGAGAATATGTGATTGGCTTCGTTGAATTTCTGATTGGGAAATCAGGAGAAAAGGGTACTAGGCCTGATCCTGCCAGTCTTCTATCTTTACGATTTTTGCAAGTCAGTTTGCCTTTTTGTGACTCATTGTGTTTCTTCACCTATAAAAGTGGGGGTGCGATGTTGAGCTCTAAGGTATTTTCCAATTCTTAACTTCTATGGTTCTAAATCACATAGTTAATAATAAAAAAAAAAGTAGGGATTATAATTCCCGTCTCCTGTAGCCTAACCCTATATTTTTTCCTCTGCACTATGATGCCACCCAGTGGACCACAAACTTTTTTGCTTATTGAGCAAGTACAAAACTTAAATTATCTAGCATCAAGATCGATGTCTGGTAAAGCCTGAACCTGGCTATATGTTAAATGGAATGTATATTTAAAATGGGGGAAGGGGGAGAGAAACATTCACACCTAAATCTAGATTTTAGTCCCCTTCCTCAGAGGAAGGGATTATTTCAGGCAAAAAGAAAAGACCACCGTTCCTTTTATATACTCATACCTGTTTGCCTTTTGGTGGGAAGAGTATACTGTGTTTATTTTACTTTAGGGTAGCGGTATTTTGTTGGGATTTTTTAAAACTCATACACAAGGCTATCTATCTTACAGGATGCTATTCCTTGGTTGAGAAAGGGTTAAACAAATGAAACTGTTGAATGAGATCAGTACACTGAAGTTGCCTCTTCATAGGGGCCTAGAATAAGCAGGAAGAAGATGTGAAAAATGGATGCAGCAAGCTGGGGGCCACATCAGAAAAACTGGTAGTGGTGAGTCATGGCATCATAAACTCATAGGATAAGAGATTTAGAGCTGAGAGGTCATCTGGCCCAACATCTTTATTTCACAGAGGAAGAAATGGAAGCCCAGAGAGTGAAATGACTCCAAATATAAGAAGTAAGTGACTAAGCTGGGATTAGAACTCAGATATGATTCTAAATCCAGTGCTATTTCTACTGCACCATTCTCACAATCTGGTTGTCAGAGCCTCTCTTTCTGCTTACCCCATTCTACCCTGAGTGACACTAGGTAAAGCTCTAGGTAAAATTGTGAAGGGCATCTGGCTTACTGATCTCTGACAACCTGTTTCATACTAAAGTATTAATGGATTCTTGGGTTAGACTCAAGTAGCAGAAAGTACTTCCCAAGAGACTGGGAAGAGAATCCAAAATACCCTAACCAAAAAGAATGGTCCTTTAATGATGGCAATTTCAAGTACTGGGGCTCTTACTCAAATCACTAACCTTTTATTCTGCCCAAATAAGGCCTGTGGGTAATATTAATGTATGACAAATTCCAACTGGGAGATTATACACACACACACACACACACACACACACACACACACACATACACATATACATATACATAATATACACACACATACATACAGAGAGAGAGGGAAGGAAGGAAAGAGAGAGGGAGAAAGAGAGGTGGGGAGAGAGTGAGAAGAGGAGAGAGAGAAGTAGAGAAAGAGAGAAAAAAAAGGAGAGAGAGAGAGAGAGAGAGGTGATATGACATAGCATGATGCTGTAGTTAAGGGTCCTCTATGATATATGACAGATTTGGGGTCATTCACCCAAAAGTCACAGAAACATCAAAAAGAAAACCAAATTATTATTTACCTTGCGTCTTTTAATGGGTCCATTTTCCCCTGGAACAGCTTCACACAGGCGACTTATTGCTTCCCTACAGAACAAAACCCAGAAGCCATGAAAGGTTTGATCTTTCACCTTATGTATATTCACCAACTACAAGCATGGATAAAAGCATAGAATTCTAGAGGTGAAATGGATCTCAGAGACCATTTTGTCCAACCCTTTTCCAACATGAATTCCTTTTATAATATCCTCTACAAACAGTTACTCAACCTCTACTTGAAAGCTTTCAGTGATACAAAGTCACCTTTCCCCTCTTCTTTCCCCTAAGGTAACTCATTAGCTCTGTTGGTTAAGAGGTGTTTTCATATGTTGAGCTGAAATCTATCTCCCTGTAACTCCCACCCACTGGTCCTAGTGGTTCTCTCCAAGTCTAAGTAAAAATAAACCTAATGCCTCATCCACATGATGACTATTTGAATATTTTTTAACTGCATTCAATATTACCCCTTTCCTCCTCACCCCCAAAGGCAGGTATAGACAGAACACTGGGACTGGAGTCAGGAAGACCTGAGTTCAAATCCATCCTCAGACAATTACCCACTATGTGATCCTGGGTAAGTCACTTAACCTCTTTGCCTCAGTTTCTTCATCTTTAAAATGAGGATAATAATACACTTACTTCCTAGGAGAGTTGTGAGGCTCAAATGAGATCTTTGTAAAGCATTTAGCACACAGTCTCTGGTACATAGTAGGTGCTTAATAAATGCTCATTTCCCTTCTTTTCTTCCTTTCTTTTCCAAGAAAAATGTTTCTATTTGTTTGAATTAATCCTTATATGCCAGAGTTTTAAGTTCTTTTACCATCCTGGTTACTTTTCTTTGGATGAGCTGTGGTTTGTCAATATCACTCCTAAAACTTGGCACACTGATTTAAAATTGTGATTCTATTGCGAGGGGAGCCTTTCTGGAAGTCTACCATGTTCACTTCGGGTTTGGGGCCACAGAGACTCTGCCTATGCTAGGAAAGCTTGCACAGACAGTATGAGGATACCTCTGAGATAAGATTTTTTAAAAGAATGCTAAACAACAATGCCATAGAGCAGAAAGAACATGGATTTGGAGAGAGCACTAAGGTTCAAATCCTGGCTCTACCATTTCCTTCCTGGCCTAGACAAAGTCACTTCACTATTGCAGGCCTTAGTCTTTTCATGTTTAAAATGAGGTGAATAGAATACATGGTCTCTAAAGCTTCTTCCTGCTTTAAATATAAGATACTATGATCCTTAGAAGACCAAATTATCAGAGAAGGAAATAGAGGAAAGAAGTGACCATAGAAAGAGGAGTCCCTGACTCATCATCATCATTAATAAAAATCACCAACAAGCATTTATTAAGCATTTCCTATGTGTCAGCCACTGTGTTAAGTACCAAGGATAGAAAGCAGCTAGGTGCTAATCAAATGAGATCATATATGTGAGCATCAAATGAGATAATATTTTAAAGTGCTTCACACAGTGCCTGGCACATAGGTGTTATACAATGCTAGTTATTGGGGGGGGTTATTATAGCAAGGCAAAAATCACTTTTTGGTTTATATAAATTATAGTTTCCCCTTTTCTGTTTGCAATGCTAGACTTTGGATTCAATGCAGTTATATGTTACCCATCCTGACAAAGGTTCACCCTTTCTGCCATGGAATCAGAAGGTTCGGAGGCAGCAGATTTCCTAGTGCCCCAGTATCACTGGGGTCAGAAACTTCCTGAAGATTCAGGATTACTGACAGCACCAACAGTGACCTTATCAAGGAGCAGCCCCTTTCATAGTCATCCAGAGGGTAAGTTATTAACCTCTCATGTCCTGCTCCCTCAGAGTGGCTGTCAATCTGATATCAGCTATGCAGGGCTGAGACAAACGTCTATCCCTGGGGCATTGAAAAGTGGTTGGGTTTGGGCCATAGGTACTGAGAGTAGTTGTTGCTAATATATTTTCCTGATTTGATCCTGCATTTCTATTCTAAGTAACTCATCCGTTTTTCATGACTACAGTGCGAGATCATGTGACTAATACAGCAGATGGCCATTAGGGAGAAGTTCAGAGAGAATGGAGATTCAGAGCATCAATTTGAATAGATATGAACCCAAATGGATCCCTGAATGTAACATTGACTTGTTATACGATCATATCTCATGTGAAAAATTATTTCTAAAAAATTAATCAAAATTTGTGCTTCTTGACCAGATCATAGTCAGCTTAATTTCTAATACTACAAACCATTGAAATCGGATTTTGCTCCAACTTCTTCATCTAAAGAGAACGATCTTTGGACTAGATAGGAAAGAACAAAAATAGTTAAGCAGCTTCTCAGCTATGCAAGGATCTAAGACAACTCCGAAAGCCTCATGATGGATAATCCTATCCACATCCAGAAAAAGAGCTTTGGAGTCTGAATGCAGATCGAAGCAGACTACTTGCTCTCTTGTTGTTATTGTTGTTTCTTCTTTATTGTAGTTTCTCTCATTGGTTCTAATTCTTCTTTACAACATCACTAATGTGAAAATATGTTTAATATGAATGTATATGTATAGCCTATATGAGATTGTATGTTGTCTTGGAGAGGAAGGAGTGGAGGAAAGGAGAGAAAATTTAGAACTCAAAATCTTATGGAAGTGAATGTTGAAAACTAAAACTAAATAACTAAACATAAATAAACAAATAAATAAATGAATGTATGAATGAATAAACAAACAAACAAATAAACAAATAAATAAGTAAAAAATGGTTAAGCAGAAGGTAGAAAGACAGTGAAAAGACAGGCAGAATGTGGCTGCCATCAATGAAGTCAGTGTTGAAAGAATTAGCAGATATGATTGTAGAGAGGGCGATCTGGGTTTTATGTAGAAAAAAACTTAATAATTGTTAAAGCTGTCCAAAAATGAATCAGCTACCTCAGGTAATGGGTTCCCCTTTATTGAAGGTGTTCCCACAGAGAATGAATGAACTCTTGTTGAGAACATTGTAGAGGGAATTCTTGTCCAGGTACTGATAGGAGTAGATGGACTCTGAGGTTCCTTCCAAAACTTGGATTCCAGAAAAAATACTTCTATATATTTAATTCCATTTCAGTTCCAAAAACATAAAGTACCAACTGTGCATGATACCTAGCCCCAGGATCTAGAGGAAAAAATGATTCAACAAGCATGGTTTAAGCACTTAAAAATGGCAAAAAAAAAATGGTTAGATGATGATGATGATGCAGAGACAAAAGTGAAACAATTCTTTCTCTCAATGAATTTATGTTCAACTGGGGAGAAATAACATAAATACACAGGTAAATACTATGTATGTGTGTTTATTATGTATGCATATACATGTGTATGTATGTGTATACATAAAGTAAATAGATAATATCATCGGGGAAAGATGGAAAATGCTAACACTTGGTGGGATGGGGTGGGATCAGTAAAGGCCTCTTGCAGGTATGATTGTTTTCTTCTCTCCAGGCTCTGCTCCTGACTTTCCAGACTTCACAATTCTCCAGCTGCCTTCTCACCCCCATCATTGGAACTGATCTAGAGATAAAGGACTTTAGAAAAGGAGCTCATCGAATGATGGCTCACACAAGGTAGTGAACAGGCAGTGGGTGCAGGGTGTTAGGAGACAGCAGAGAATATGGTTTTGAGCTGGAATTTGGAACCAAACATACTTGGAGCCAAAACAGAAAGGATATATTTTAATTGGGACTAGTATTAGCAATTAATTGGTCAGCCTAGGGATGAGACAGGTAGAAAAAAAAATGAAAGATCCAAACGATTGTGTTCATCTGTGTCAAAGTGACTAATTCTGTGACTAAACAGAACACTTATAATATACCTTCCAACAAACTGTGTAGGGAATAAAAATATTCTTTGCACAATAGTGAAGTTGATTTTATATTCTAAAATTTTGCTAATTTAGGACAGTATGATTTGAATGTTCAAAGAAGAGATACAATAAATACAAAATAAATGTAGAGGATTTACTACCCAGATTATAGATCTAGAAGGCTGGAAAGGAAGGGAAATCAGAGTTCACCTAGTCATAGGATCAGAGCCCTAGACCTGGAAGACACTTCAGATGCAATCTAGTCTAACATCTTCATTTTACAGATGAAGAAAGTTAAGGGACTTTCCCAAGGTCACATGAGTAATAAGTATCAGAGGTGGGATTTGAATCCAGGTCCCCTGACTCCAGAACCAGTATTCTTTCCACTATGCCATATTATCTAGTAATTGGGCTATGATTCCTAGGTCACAGCTGCAAAATAAGAATTCCCCTTCCCCCCATCCCTTCAATGGCATCAAAAGTTAATACTGTGAAAATGAAAGGGGCACTTGGGTACTTTCATCACATAATCATATAAATGTAAAGTGTTATTTCTAATCCTAATATTTTAATCCCTTATAATTATGCAAATAACAGGACTGCTGTAGCAATTACAAATCCTTTAACCAAAGGCACAAAAGAAACCATTTTTTAAAAAAGCTAAAGCTATAATAATTGATATAATTATATTAACTTATGTAATTGCTTTTTGCACATTGGCATTGACAGAAATTGGAAGCTTAAATATTTTAGAAACTGGGAAGGCAAAAACCAATCTACAAATGATTAAAACAGCTTGATTGCTCATTCTCTATCTCTCACTATCATACCCAATTAGCAGCCAAGTCCTTTCAATTTTGTATTCATTAAGTCTCTTGTATATGCCTCCTTCTCTCCTTTGATACTGTTAGCATTCTGTTGCAGGCTTTCAGCACCTCATACCTGAACTATTGCAACAGTCTGCTGGTTGGTCTCGCTACCTTGTGTCCTCCACTCAGTTGTCAAAGTGGTCCTCCTAAAGCATGGGTCTGACTGTATCAACCCCATCTCCCTCACTCAATAAACTCCATAGCCTCCCTATCATCTCCAGGATCAAATAGATCATCCTCTGGCATGTACAGCCCTCCATAACTTGCTCCCCACCTCTCCCACTTTTCCAGGCTTCTAACACCTTACTCCCCTTCACTTACTCTGAGATCTAATGAAACCAGCCTCCTTCTTTTCCTCC